GCAACTACAAAAGAATATGAATTGATTTGCTTCTCTTTGGACACTTTTTTCACGAAGAAGCTTCGAATAAAGTTCTTAATTTGGACAGATGTCCAAATTTCAGTCCAAAGTGCTGAATATTTGAAGACAAAGGGAAGAAATTAAGAGAATGTTCAGTGGTTAACTAAGAAGCGTTGACATTCTCTGTTTAGTAGAAAGGTGTCATGGCTGTGACATTAGCACAATGGACCATAAAGTTGCTTATCGCATTTTTTAGGGGCTTTTAATGTTACTTCATAAAAACCAAGATTTTGAGATTCAATACTTTCATCTGAAAAAATAAAAATTCAAGAGTCAAAATGTTCAATCGAACTTGTACTGAAATCAAATCGAAAGTCATATATAAATATTTTAATTTAAAAATCAACTAATAAATTTATAGCCGTCAAAACATAAAATAAAATATATGATATATCTCAACGCTTACTCGTTGCTTAACCAAATTTTTTCCTTCTTAAAAAATGCAATCATAAAAGTCCTTCCAATTGTGGCCGATGCAACTAGCCCGATGTACAGGATTCGATCCAAATTTTGAGGTCAACTACAAAATACTTTTTCTTTTTGCAACTTACACATATATTGGATGAACTTTCAGACTTTTTTCTATTCGAATATGTTATTTGACTTATTAACAATATGGCACTTGGCAAACATTATAAGTAGGGTTTGGTCACTCCCTCCAACTGGAGGAATATATGCCCTTATGATAACTCAATTCATGCATAATCAACATTCGAAAAGACTCAATCTAATAGAGAAGGCAAAGGTATTGACCTTTTTCATTGCCTATATATATGGCTTATTTGCTGTTGATTCAATTCATCAAGCAAACTTAAGTGAAAGGAAGAGAGGCCTGGTATGAAATTGATGAGCCTGATTTGGTAGCCAAGGATGACTTGCCTACATTCATTCTTAATTATGGGTTCGACTCGTAATTAATTGTGTGGTTTTTAGGGGTCATCACTTGGCTATCCTAATTGGCTCTTATCTTTCATGCTAGACCTTCTCTTCCAGCATGCATTGTGAAAAACACACCTAGCTAGCTTACGAAAGCATCATTTTCCTAGGTATCATCTGTCAAGATTTGTCTCTTTCGATCTACCATGGAGCACTTAGCTTCTCAATTATGTTGCAATGTACTAAACGACGTTCCTTATAACGAAGGTCACCTAAGTACTTACAAGAGTCAATCACAAGTGACACAACCCAAACTTTTGATTGAGATTTCATGTTCAACATTTCACGAGCGACAAGTTTGTGAAATGGCTATGTTAACGATAGAAATCCGATCAACAAATTTCTCTAATCTAGCTAGCCAGTGTTTTCACTTCCTAAATGTACTGATTTTAATGTTCAAATTAGAGTAAGAGTAGAAATGACTATTTGAGAGGGAAATATTTGAATTTGAATTATTTTCTTCTCTTAGGTAGGAGTATTTATAGATCTCTCCCAAAGTTTTGGAGGCAAATGGGTCATTTTGGATTGACAATAGAAATCCGATCAACAAATTTCTCTCATCTAGCTAGCCAGTGTTTTCACTTCCTAAACTTGCTCATTTTGATGCCCAAATCGGAGAAATGACTATTTGAGAGTGAGATATTTGAATTTGAATTATTTTCTTCTCTTATGTAGGAGTACTTATAGATCTCTCCCAAAGTTTTGGAGGCAAATGGGTCATTTTGGATAAGCAATAGGTGGCGGCCTCTAGCTAGTTTGTAACTAATTTTGTTTAAGCCCATGTTTGGCATCCATTCTCTTTCTCATTTTTTTTTCTCTTTCTTCATTTCAAGCACACAATCTCCAAATAAAAGAATATTACACACAAATCTAAAAAATTTCATCGCTTTTCCACCACACATTCTCCCATCAATCACTATTCCAAAAATTTTCAACACATTAAGAGCTTGTTTGTCTCCCATCATGGGAGAAAGAATGATGTTTTGAATAGTATTTTTTGGAGAATGTGTGGTTAAAATTGAAAGAAATTTTATTGTTTTATGTGTAAAATATTTTATTATTTGAATGTGTAGTGGAGATTGATTACTGTAGAAAACAATGTTTTGAAAAATGGTAGACAAACAGGGGCTAAAATAGGTGTCAAACACTCACAAAGTATCACATTATATTCATCGGTTTATGTGCCATGCACTCATTGACTTTGAAGTCATGCTCTAAATGTTGAAAAATGTTGAAAAATGTCACGACTTGTGATTTCACCTTAGTTAATTCAATTCAATTTCGTTCATTGAGTTTTAAAAATTACATGTAGTTGATAGAAATTTCCTGACTAGCTTATTTGATAATCTCCCTCGAGCAAAATTAAATTTAAATATGTATATATATGAATTCATTATTATCCCTATGTGAATAGCGATATATAAAAGTGCATTGAAAACATAGAAATTCGCACGCGACCACACAAACCATACGAGTATATTTTTATCTCTATCTTCATCTTCTATCTAAATTTATGATTTTAAGATAAAAGTTAATAGCCTAATGACACGTATGTTACATCGAGGTCTTCATATGGTTCTCAAAGCATTCTTGAAACGATAATGAAAACACAGCACTAAAGCATACTTGAAATCAAAAAATGGAAATTGAAATAATGTTATCAAAGTAGATTACTTCATTCATCATACCTTAGAATGTTAGGATATCATTGAATGACGAGAACATAGCTAAATTTGAATACATCAACCGGTTGAACTCGTAGCCAAACTCCAAGAATGCAGCTTTTTTTCTTCGCTTTTTCTTAGCTAGAAGCTCTACTTCATCTCTCTTTGTCAAAGGCAAGATATACCATTTTTTTTTTCAAAAACTCATTTTTCTAAAATTCATTTTCAACCACACGTTCTCCCATAAAATAATTTGANAAGTCATTTTTCTAAAATTCATTTTCAACCACACGTTTTCCCATAAAATAATTTGACATGTAAATCTTTAATTTTTTTTAGTTTTTAACCACACATTCTCCAAAAACTTACTATTTTAAAATACATTTCTCCCCAAAAATGGGGCTCATACGGGGCACAGCTTAACCCCTTAAAGTCCAAAGAGATAGAGTACATTTACTTTTGGGGGCTGGGACCTCTATTTTCATGCAAAACGTACCCATTTATGCCCCTAATAGTCTCAAATTTTCGCTCGCGAGATATTTTCCTTCATTTATTTTCGCTTGCAGAGACATTAGCCCTCGTTTCCTTCGTTTTCTCTGTTGCAATACTCCGAGGTAGCCTATCGGACATGCCTTCTTGTTCCTATGGGCGAAGTTAAGCATATCTATTCTCTTTTCATTCCTATTTTGCTCAATGCCCCATCCAAGCGGACACTAAAATAAGTAGAATCTAGATTAAAATAACTAGTATTTGTATAATAAATGGATGTGAGCTAAGTTTACAATTTACACTTATCAAACCACACGCGTGTAGTTTTCCATCTTGTTATTATTTTAGATATGTTAAATTGATATTTATCTATTTCTGTGTAACACTTCGTCACTCTTAGTTCACATTATTATGAATAATGTAGTTAAATTAATGATTAAGATCAAACGAAACAAAAGTTTGGTCATCTTGAGCAGTTGACATTGTTTACAAAGTAGACACACATCTTCTAACTAATAAAATTGGAATATTCGAAAAATGAAAATGAAGGTGACACTCGACAATTAAAAATCAATGTTGTGATACCTTTAATGTCACCTGTCAAATCCCTTTGAATTTGTTCTTTTTGCGATTTGTCAAACGTCCCTCATGCCCAACATATGGAACGTCGAGGGGACAACTAGTTATAATATTAGGTTTAGCATCTTATAAGAATTCCTTTTTAGAATTGGGTTTTGACATATATTCTATCGATTTGTCAGTGTGTTAAAATCTAGATCATACTAAAGAAAAAGGATCAATTAGACCATTTTCATTATACAACAATAAGTAAAATTGAACATGATTATTAAATATTAAAAGAGTGGCGTTCAGTACAAATTTCAAGTGTATGATATCAATAAACAAGTAATATAATTAACATTTCCATTAAAACTATTCTATCTCATTATCGGTCCAATTATGCCGAACATCTATTTGAATTAAAGAGAAAAACAATTTAATGTTGTGATTTTCCTAAAAATCTATTCATTGAGAAAACAAATTAACATGAATGTGCATTCAATTTTCAATTTTAAATTGCTAAATTTTACCTACAAGAAATAAAAAAATAATAATAATAACCCACAAATCTTTCAAACTTGATTCAAGACTTTGCGTAAAAATCTTTGTGACCGTAAACTTATGTGATTTGTTACTAGTACGTGATCGTGATCATAAATTGTATGTTATTGTGATCTTGACATATTTAATTAATTATTTGGTCGGATTACATGTGAATTTGGCATCTTTTAACATTCATAAAGTACTCAACTTGTTTATGATTATGTGGTAAGGTATGAAGGGAAGACATTTAGGCAGAGGGTTATGAGATGTTCCTTAAATAATTAATAGGGCAATGGATAATCATAGGCAATTAGAATTAGAGATATATAGAAGCATGATTATTAAGAATTAGAAACAAAAATTAGCTTTAGACCAGAATGTACTTTAGGTGGCTTTAATTGCTGAAAACAAGTTGGAATACTTGTATTAATAATAAAAACAATAATGAATGATGTTTCTCATTCTCATTTTACTCGTTGAGATTGACGAAGACGACGAGTAAAGCGTACTCGTTAAGCTCGTCAAGGTATTTTATCATCTCTAAATATTTCATCGTCAATTGTAATGTACTATCAGGTCAATAAATGTAGTGTACTCGATGTTAGTTAAATTGCCAATCTCACCAAGATAGACGCGAACGTTGTGAGTTCACTTAAACCAGCAGTAGTCAGAATTTCTAAAATAAGAAAACTTGAAGAGATTCGAACTCTTTACTCCAAAAGTATGAATAGCAATGGAAACCAGTTATCAAGTTCTCACCACCACAATTTTATTGGTTTTCGGGTTAATGCTCTCGATGATGAATCTGTCAGTCGGTACCCTTCTGCTTATCATAGGACGGGATGGAAGGAAAGCAATGTAACCTGCAATGGTTACTGAATAGCCGCCTCTCACTTTCTCAGCTACGAAGCCTCTGACCTTTGAATTTGTTCGCCAAATCTTGGTCAGTTCCATCCAGGCTCGGTTTTTTCTGAGCCTTCGTGGTAGGAGAAGCTGCTCCCCAGACACGGAATCGGTGGGTCCCACCAAATCATTGAACCGAACAGCGGCTCGCTCTTTCATTGCTGAATCACCAGTCACCATATCAACGAAGCAACGCTCCAAGATTTGCTTTTTGACTGGCGTTTCACCTGACAAACGATCGAGATATCCAACCCGGTCTCGAACCTTATAGGCCATTTGGTGTTCGGGTCTCCGATAAGCTCATCTTGAGTGCAAATTCTTGGGGTCCCAATTCCTGCATCCACCAAGAACATATCTTCCCTTAAACCTAGAACTTTGGACTGCAAAGCAATACCACTTCGCAAGAATATGCTCGAATTAGATCTTGAAAATAATCGACTCATATAAGTGTTCATCTTATGGGTCAATCTCAATTCTTGAAATTCCCTGTAGACGGTAAGAAAATTTTCTTCAGATACCCAACAAACAATTTCTTTCTTGACAACTCAATTAATAAAATAATAGCAAAAAATATTCGTAAATACAGCAGATGTAACAAATACAGCTGTATATTCAACAATATATGCTAGAGTAAGTAGCAACTCTTCCGAAGGTTGGAAAGAATAAAAATCCAACATCAGGCACACAAGAGGGAAAATTGGCAATTGAGTCAGCCATCAACAACTCCTGGCAGCATTCATATAGGTAGATAGTGCCACAAGTATTTCAATACTGTAATGTGAGATAAGCATTAAAATAAAAGCTCCTGTGCCCAGTTATAGAATAGCTAATAAATAGTCATAAGATGTGAAGAACGCTAACTTTAGGACCATTGGATATAAAAAACAACTTAAATATGATCGGGATCATTTGTGCGATAGATCCCGATGCCCTAATCCTATGCTTCCAAATGCTATGAGTAATTCTATGACATTATGTATAGAATAATTACGTCTCATCCACCACGTAAGTATTCACTTTCTTCAATATATAGAAAATGAGAAATACAAAGAAAACAGAAGTGGGTTATAGAACTATTTTATGCAAGCAATATATCTTTCTTTTTTCATGAAAATGAAAGAATTGACAAACAAGGTAGTGTCTGGAAATCCAATTATAACCTAAACTAATTGAAGTGGATGGCAACCTAGCATACCCACATACAGTTTCGTCAGCGCATAATAGAAACAAAATATAGGCCCATCAGTCTTCTAGTCTGGCTGATGAGCAAAATGAGTGTAAATCAGGAGAAATGTGTTTTGCAAGTGAACCAATTCTTAAGTTAGAGACAGAAGAGAGGTAAAATCTGTGGAAACCAACTTCTGATATATTGTCTAATTCTACCATAATGCTGCTCATGAAATTCAGTGGCTGAGTTTGAGAAAGGTTAATTTTCCACCTTTTTAATATGCAAAGCATATTTTTAATTTTATTGTTCTACTCAGAATATTTTTTCATTAGTGCAGAGTTGCATTTTCTTTAGTGATTGTGGCACTTTAAATTATTGATTTAGGTCTGTACAGTACATATTTCCGCGTGTTCTCATTCAGACCTAAAACTAAACCAATTATCCCTCTTTCTTTTGGCTTTGTTTGGGAACTCAAAAAACTAGGACCGGAAAACTCTGTTCAGACCTGAAATTGCTAAACTGGTCAGGACAAATCTCATTTTACTCCGATCTCAGTTCACCTCAAATATGATCGGTTAGAACATTGAATTGCTTATCGGAATATTGCTTTGTCAATTATTTACTGGAATATTGCTTTGACACTGCTGCAACACAATTTTTTATTTTTTCCTTTTCATTTTAACATGTCAGTGAAGATAACAAGAAGACTTTTGTCGTTTTCCAATATTTTATCCTTCCTCCGTTCCAAATTTTCTAAATTCAAATTCGGTTTTCCATTAATTATCTCACTGGATTCACACAAGACTGTTCAACGACACCACAGATATTTACCCATTTTTTCCTATTTAAGCAACTTACTGGACTGGGGTCGGATGTGCCAGGGCTATATTTATGCTTTACTAAAGTGGTATCAACTCTTCCCAAACAACCCTTGGTTATCTTTTATACCATCTTCAATCATGTTTCCCTAAAATTGATCACATAGCAATCTAACTACAGTTTGATATTTTGAAACATAAAAATTTTGACAAATTAATGAGGCACCAAGAAAATAAAAGAACACATGTACACACTATCTATAACTTCAATTTTAGATGTTTAAGATTCGTCAGTGGAATAGAAAAAATTAGGGGGCGGATTGAGAAACTGGAAGAATACACATAAACACACTATAACTTTAATTGAATGCTAACATTCAATTGAACAAATATATTACACAAAGAATTTTGTGACAATCATTAGGTTTTTCCTCCAAAGTTGAGACCCATTATTACCAGACATTGGAGGAGAGGATAAACAAATGAGCTTCAATACTAAGCGCCGTATAAGAGTTATCCATGGGAAGAATACTCTTATTTATCCATTAACAGCAAGTAGATCTATGCCATGAGAATCAGTTATCTAGGTGATCTGTGTGGCTTCAAAATAAAATGATTCTAAAAATATAAAAATTGTGGATAATACCAATAAAACATCTTGCAATCTAGGGACGGAGCAAGACCAAGACTTTAGGGGGGCTAAAACTTACAAAAATCATAATGTATTTTAACAATTCTCACTAAGATTCTCACATTAACTAGTGAACCTTGTGGGAGAGAGAACCACAAATCCATCTCAAAAACAAAAGAAAGTCTATCAATTTCCAACGTGCTTAGCAAGAAATACAGAGGAATAAATGAATATGTACCAGATTCTTGTGAACACTTTCAGAAAGGAATGAGTTCTAAATTTGTACCAGATGAGAAAAAAGAATCAAAACTACATATAAAAATTTGCAGGGCAGCAAGTTTTGAATTTCTTAATACTTTTAAGTATAATATACAGACTATGCACTCTACCAAGAAATAAACCAACATGTCCATATTCATAGAATTCTGAAACCTTTTTAATTTCCTTCCTGAAATTCTACTTCAATTAGAGGCCTGATTTTGTAATGGAATATATTGCTGATTTCAAACCATGTGCAATCCGTTCATGCTGCAAATTGGCCTCAAAATCATTACTGTTTAAGAGTTTGGAAGAGGAATAAGTTTAGTCGGTGATGTAGGCCATGCCGCCATGAGACAAAGGTGTATTAGTTGGCTGTGTATGCAACAAGATGTAAGGTGCATTAGAATTTTGAAATCCAAATCTTTATTAGTGCAAATTTCAATGTAATTTTTGCAAACAGAATCTAAGGATTTTTCTATGGCCTGTTCTTCTCCTCCAATCTATTTCCTATCTTCCAAAGAATGCTAGGATATGCCTTCAGTAGCTGCATCGCTAGCAGATACATGAATCTTCAAGTTCTTAATATCATCCTAGCTTGCTTCAAAAAAGAAGGTTTTGAACTTAGCCAAAAAGTCTGCATTGCTACTTAGGCATTGAAGTTTAAGGATAAAAAAGGAAGGATATTTGGTTCTGGTGCCAAATTAAGTATTACACAAGAACACCGGTATACTAATATCACATAGCCCCTATTTGACTCACATTATTTTTCTCATTCTCATTCTTCTACTCATTTTCAACCACACATTCTTCAATAAAATAATATTTTCCATCACATCAATAACTTTTCCTTTATTTTCAACCATATATTCCACATCACATCACTTCAAAAAAATGCATTCTCTCATTAAAATGTGCACCAAACAGGCTCATAGTTTTTTGCTGTCTACATTTCACATTGATATTGCTAAAATCTTATTTTACTCAGCAATGGCCTCTTGGATTACATTTGGACTGAGATAATACAAGAGAAAATATGAAAAATATTATATATTGCCAATAAAATTGAGACGTTGAAAATAACTGAATTCATATAAAAGCAAAATTGACATTAAAATTCATGAACAGTTAATTTTGTCCATTACAAATCTGAAGAATGGTAAATACAGAGACGTAAACCTACACAAATCATAATCTGCTTGAACTTTAAAAATTCAAAAGGTAAATATCCAACGGAAAAATTGCTTAAAATCAAACCTAAATTTGCTCCATTTTCTCCCAATCATATTAAGCAATGTGATAATCAAACCCACCACCACATTAGACGCTTAATCATCATCCCATATCTAGAAAACTAGGGTTTGAAATTTAGATACCTGGGTAGAAGATTTCAAAATTTCTTGGCTTCTCTTTGTTGTTCGCAGCATGGCTTCATTCACTTTCTGATTTCTCTTTTGATTATCAATTAATTCAGGGCATATTCGTACAAGTTAATTTTAGTGTTTAGGTGAGTTTATGAGCTGGGCATGTGAAAATTTTCTCACGAATTACTGAAAACAACAGAGACCTCAACCCTACCTCTACAATTTCAAAGGTCCGCACGATCTCCCTATCTACAAAATTTCATGTCTAGAGTGCTAAAGCCCTGTATTACGCAGTTCACAAAAAGAAATGTATACAAGATCACAAAATCTTAAAATGAATTTAAGTTCTTACTAACCATTCAATCCGAGATTATGATGTAACGAATCCAAGACAACAGAGAAAAATAAAAGAAAAGAAAGTGAATTACCTGTCGCAGGTGACGGCCGAAAATCGCAGTATTTGATAGAGAAGAGACGTCGCAAGCTGCTGCGTTCTCTCACTCCATAAGTGCCGCGGTTTTTGTTTTAGCGTTGGTTCGTAATTACGACAGCATTATCACCACCACCAACCACTCCAACACAGCATATCGGAAGAAAACACCCAAAAAATACACCAAAAATCATCTCAAAACCATTGCAACAACCCCTCATGCCGACAATCAACACAAACAACAAACTTGCACCACCACCACCACCATCATTACACCCATAGTGCACCATCACATTTTTTAAGTCACAACCATCACATTTTTTAAGTCACATTTATCTGTTGGTCATAAATTAATACAAATACTCTTTTTCCCACTCCGCCCATCCCATCTCATCCCATCCCACCTCTATTATCAGCATCATCACATTATCACGACCTACACCACCGCTATCACCACCACCCCAACACTCCGACAAAGCAGATCAAAAGAAAATACCCAAAACACTACCTCAAAAATCATCTCAAAGTCATTGCAGCAACCCTTCACATTGGTAATCAACAAAACCACGAATTTGCACCACCATCACCATCGCACCCCTAGTGCACC